AAAGAAAGAAAGAAAGAAAGAAAGAAAGAAAGAAAGAAAGAAAGAAAGAACATTGCCACAAAGTTGCAAAAGCAACAGGCAAAGCTGAAAGCAAACACTGTCACCTGGTCTTGTCAGGCCCAAGACTGAGGTGGAGACATGCTAAGCTGGGCGGGCTGAAGCACAACTCTGGTTCTGAGGGAAAGAACACTGGCATAGCACAATGACCAAGGATGGACTCAATGCTCAGATCTGGTGTCCTGGGAGCCTCAGGTCAAGGTAGTTCCTACTTGGGCTTTTCACGAGAGCATCCTGATGGCCCCTCTGACCTCAGTTCTCTATTCGTCTTATCCATTTGGTGTTCAGAGACAAGTCAGCACGTTACTTTTCACGAGTGGGAGAGGTAGGACATCATGAAGTCCCACCGCGCCCATACCTTGCGACACAGGGGCTCCTAGTGAAGCAGAACCTGAAGCTGGGTGCCTGGTGTCTTCCTGGTGACTCCTGGGACTTGGAGGTAAGAGAAAGGAGGAACAAAAATCTTACCAACAGGGTTTAAAGACTTCATAAGCTGTCTTCACTTTGTTGAAAACATTATTGTGATTTAGCACATTCCAAAACTTGGGTAGGCAAATTAAAAAAATGCAGATGGTAATAAAATGTAGTCAGTGGAGGATAAGGGAGATGAGGGAAACAGTGGGGAGAAGCCTGTTCTAGACAACTTTGTGGGGTGTTGGGGAAGCACATAAGGCCAGTTCTTACTCCAAAAAAGGTGTGCCTCAACCCAAACGGGGCTGGTAAGCAGCACAAATGGACAAGATGGCCTCCATCTTTTATCCTTAAGGCAAGGGGGAGGAGCTTGGCTTCCCCATTGACTGAGGTTCAGTAAAGTCTACCTTGGCCTAATTTGGAAAGCAGCTGGCTTTGATTCACGGCCTAAGCTGGAGAGTTGGCTTAGTGATTAAGAGCACCAGGTTTGTGTCCCAGCACACGCATGCTGTCTCACAAAGGTCTGCAACTCTAGTGCCAGGAGATCCAATGTCTCTTCTGGCCTCCATGGGTACCAGGCATACACAGTGCTGGCAAAACACCCCTACATAATACAAAAATAAAACGTGTTAAAAAAGGAATCCATGGCCCTCTTCCTCAGCAGGAGGGGGGGTCTCAGTGAGGACAAAGGGGAGCTTGTGCTTGGTGTGCATGGTCCAAAGGAGCAGGGAGCTGTAACGTTTTGACTTGGGAATCTAGAGCGCAGAGCAGTGCTCATGACTGGAGGAAATGAAATTCTGGGTGCCTTTTACAAGTGGCTAGAGCTTGAAGCCACTGCACTGGATGAGATAAAGAGGAAGGGAAGATACAGCTCCAACGGTTGTAGCAGAGGCCCGGCAGAGGAAGAGGCAGGAAACCGCCCCAGAAAGCAGTGGTGAGCCTGCTCCTGGGCTCCAGAGTCCTGTGCTTTGATGCTCCCAACCAAGGACAGATTTACAGATCATTAACAGATCAGCGCAGATTTCATGGCATCACAGGTTCACCAGCGAAGCCTTCACATCAGAGAGGTGACAAATTTGGGACATTTCAGACTACAGTGTTTAGGAGGCTGACTCAGCGATCTGGGCATAATGCAACCTAAAATTTTTAGCTGGGTGAGTTGGGCGCCATTAACTTTTTTGTGTTGCCTCCACCTCCTGATCAATAGGTGCAGTTTATGAGGGAGGACTGTTGACGAAAGCTATCGGAGTCATTATTTCTAACAGTACGTCAGCAAGCAAGGCCTGTCTGCCTGGGCAGGCACCACGGGAGCTACTTTGAGGCTGGCATGGGATGACCACTCTTACAGAGAGAACAGAGTGTTGATTTTGAAGACGTAGGCTATGAGCGGACTTGAGTCTAAGAAGCAGCTGTGTTCAGTCAGTGATGCCTCTAAGCCATGTTTCCCAGTGAGGCCTAGTGCTCGACAGCTAGATCGGATGGACGGGTCTGTTCGGACACAGCCTCTTTATTTTTTTATTTATTGGTAAGGCTGCTTCCCCCCTCAGGGGGAGGTGATCAAAGAACAGGCCAATCAGTTTATGTCAGAGGCAGTCCCTCTTCCCATTACTATGGAACCCACTTGGACACTAAACTGCCATGGGCTACATCTGTGCAGGGGTTCTAGGTTATCTCCATACCTGGTGCTTGGTTGGAGTATGAGTCTCTGGGAAGACCCCTGTGTTCAAATTTTCTGGTTCTGTTGCTCTCCTTGTGGGGTTCCTGTCCTCTCCAGATCTTACTATTTCCCATATCTTACATAAGATTCCCTGCATGTTGCCCAACAGTTGGCCATAAGTCTCAGCGTCTGCTTTGATAGTCTGCAGGGCAGAGGCTTTCAGAGGCCCTCTGTGGCAGGTTCCTAGGTTGTTTCCTGTTTTCTTCTTCTTCTGATGTCCATCCTCTTTGCCTTTCAGGATGGGGATTGAGCATTTTAGTCAGGGTCCTCTCTCTTGATTAGTTTCTTTAGATGTACAGGTTTTAGTAGGTTTATCCTATGTTATATGTCTATATGAGTGAGTATATACCATGTGTGTCTTTCTGTTTCTGGGACAGCTCACTCAGGATGATCCTTTCCAGGTCCCACCATTTACCTGCAAATTTCATGATTTCCTTATTTTTCATTACAGAGTAATACTCCATTGTGTAGATGTACCACAATTTCTGCATCCATTCTTCAGTTGAGGGGCATCTGGGCTGTTTCCAGCTTCTGGCTATTACAAATAAAGCTGCTACAAACATGGTTGGGCAAATGTCCTTATTGTGTACTTGAGCCCCTTTTGGATATATGCCTAGGAGTGGTATCACAGCCTCTTTTTTTTAAGGGATGTTTAGACTCTGGGCCCAGTGATAGGCTCGCTGTGACATGCTCTGGCCACTGTGGAGCAGCGGCTAGGACTTCAACCATGAGCTCCCTTGGACTGTGAAACAAGGGGGTGGGGCACTGGGGTCCAGACACCCAAAACCCAAAAGTGATTAACAGACAACTGTCAAAGGGAAGGGGTGACTTGGCCCCCAAAGACTCTTAACACAAGAGGACAATACTAAACTAGCACATAAAAGTTTCAAAGGGGACTGTGGGGCTCCTAGACAGAGAAAACGGCTTCCTGCCAGATGTCTGGTCCTCCAAAGTGCTGGGACCCTCAGCCACCCCCCCACCTGCTTCAGCAACTGCTTCAGGCAAACTGCACACAATCGCCTGCTATCCCACAAATACGCTCTGCTCTCCCTCGGCTTAGCAGCCTTCAAGGAGGGCCTACTTAGAACCTTTCCCTCACCTGCTTCAGATAATATCCCTCCACTGGCGTGATGGGAGTGGAGGTTAGCCCTGCCATACAGGCAGCGCATACATACATACACGCTGAAAAGCAAGCAACGTTGACAACACTAAGCTAGACCCAGCAGGCTTCCTTTATTGGGGTGACCTTTTGTTCTGCTGTGTACAGGCTGTCCTGCCGGTTTGAGGCCAAGTTAGGGTTTGTCTGCGATCTGCAGAGCTGTGAGCCCCACCTGTGTTTAGACGCCTTGTAAAGTTAGTGGGCCAACAACACACAGGTGCCGTGCCAAGCCTTTACTTCTAAATTTGTTGCTTAAGTATTCAAATACTTTAACTCCCAGTCAAGATTTTTCTCTGAATGCCATAAAATGTCTATAAACATTCACTTTGTGGATGTGCATGTGTTAAACTATAAACACTAAAGGAAACATACA